CCATCTGCCGGCGCATCTCCCCGGCAGTAACGCCTTTCGTTAATGAACAGCCGCACCAAGGCCGGTGGGCCGAAAGGCAGGGTTAGCAGTACCCTGCCTGGTGTTTCCTTTCCAAGATTGTCTCTGCCGAGCCTTTTAGCAGGTGCGGACAGAGACCCCGGTTCGTCTCACACTTCGACGGCTGAAAACGTGACAGAAAATGCGCCGTTTCATGGCGGCTCCATCCGCCCCTTCTGGAGCGTCCTCCCCCGGAGCCCCCCGTGCCCCCAGCGCGCAGACGGGAGAAACAAGCTTGCTCGGTGCGGAACCAAGGCCGCCTCCGAGGTGGGGAATGGCAGCTGCCTGGCAGCACCTGTTGATGGTTCTCTGGAAAGGCGTAAGGAATGTGCCGTGGTGTGCTCAGGCTGCCGTGGAGGATTAAATGTCATCTAAGTCAACCCATAGCTACAATTTGTCCTTCCTTAGCATTAAGGTGAAGGGTCACCTGCCATAGGTGAAATTGAGCATTTTCCAAAAGGCCACTACGTCCTGTGTTTGCTGGAGCTCCAGGGAGGGAAACGGCTCAGGCATCTGCTTCTTTAGTCCAATAAGCCACAGAAGACCCTCAGCTGCATTTTGCCATAACAAGAATCTATATAATTTTTTTTTTTTTTTTTGATTGGCCTTTTTACATCAACAGACTTACATACCATGAAGATGAAACACACAGGATGATTAAATCAAAGTCACATATGTTATCTCAGAGTCACTCAACTATATATAAACTCACTAGTGCAAAGCTCAAGAGGATGGTGACTCCGGCCCCATGCAAAAAAAGGCAGAGCAGACAGGCTCTGTGAGGCTGGAAAGAGCCTGCTTTCTGCCCATCAGCCTGAGAAGGGGATCCACCAACCTTGGCAATGGCCTTTCAACAAGAAGAAACTGTCCTGCTAACTCTTGGCAAATGAAGAAATGTGCAGAGAATTTAATTCTGAAAGCTTTTTATGCAAAAACCCTCCAAGAAATATTGTTAGAAACTACTAAAAGTCTTAAGTAAGCCTGTGATGGGCAGGATATAGGATTAAACTGAGAAGATGGGAACAAGGGAAAGGTTCCCTTTCTGTGCTGGGATATGCCCTCAGTTTGACAAGAGCCCTGTGCAAGTATCTGGGGTGCTGCTGATCCTTGTGTACTAAAGTTTTCATTGAACAGGTCATGCAGTGCCTCCATGATAGGAGCCCTCTCTGAAGCTGTGGCACACAGGCAGTGGCACACAGTGAGAGTAAGGTATTTCCTGCTGGCTCTCCACTGAACCTGTGGAAATCAGGATTAAAACTGGGAGTGGGGGATGCCTCATTACAGCAATAAAAATTAAGTGCTATTGCCAGGGGAGGTGGATCAGATTAGATAGAACTTTCTGTAGAGGATGGAGGCACATCAGCCAAGTTCATCTTGAACTTGCATTAATCATTAATAACATTGTAGAGGGAAAAGGGAGAAAACAAAGAGTTAAAGGGATGTGAGCTCCTTGGACTTTGGCACCACTTAGTAGGGAAGTGAACTAAGAGCCACTGCCAGAAATATGATGGGTGTGGATATTTCACTTATTTACTTATGTTACTGTGTTTTCCTCAGCGAATAATAAAGTATTTTTTTGTTTTAATTGCAGACCAAGTGTTTGTAAACAAGGAAGGATACTTAGCAAAAAGGCACTCGCTTTCCCTGTATTTCTGGCTTTAAAGCCAAACCCCTGTTTCTCTGTCAGCAACACTTGACAGAAGCTGCACATCAAGCCAGTTCTTTTCAGCATACTTTCAGCTCAAGTGAGGCTACAAGAGGCACACAACACATTTTTTTTTGTTTTTCTGTTGAACAGAAAAAAAAATAAATAATAATTTGTTCTAATTTGACAGCCTGTCGAAAAATAGATAGGTGGTTCCCACAACTGGTGATTCACCCACTGGGCTGTAGTCAGCCATCCTGTTAAAGAAGCTGAGAGGAACAGGTAATGCCAACAATGACTAGCGGCATTTTGATTTGCTAGGATGAGTAATTCCTAAAATACTCCCATGGGAGGGAAAAAATATTTTCTTTGTTTTATAAGAAGGAGTGCAAGCAGGACTTTAATCCAGAACATTTAGAAAACCAACAAAAGTGTATCACTCAGAAATTCCTTCCCTTTTATATGTTCTGTTACTAAGACAGACCATGTCCTAAAAATACACCCAAGTTGTGCAAACATACCCCTGTATCTTTCAGAATGTGTTTGTTTCACCCCATTTTTATTTTATTTTTAATAATATCACAATAATATTGGATTCTTACTGCTTAGCTCTACAAATGTTTACAGTACCCAAAAAGTAATTGATGCTGATAATTTATCTTACAATAAATTAAGCAAGCTAAAAGCTACCTACCAAGAACACAGCTGAAACAATACAGTTTATGTGTTAACAATGTGTATGTTGAGTTTTGCAATATTTAATCACAGAATCATCAAGATCATTAAGTCCAACTGTAAGCACTACAACCCCTAACCATTAAACCATCTCCCAAAGCACCATGTCTACCCATTTTTTTAATACCTCCAGGAACAGTGCCTCTACCACCCCGCTGGGCAGCCTATTCCAATGCCTCATCCCTCTTTCTGTGAAGAAATTTTTCCTAATATCCAATCTGAGCCTCCCCTGTTGCAACTTGACCCCATTTCCTCTTGTCCTATCACTAGTCACTAGGGAGAAGAGGCCAACACCCACCTCACTATAACTTCCTCTGAGGTAATTGTAGAGAGCAATGAGGTCTCCCCTCACCTTCCTCTTCTCCAGGCTGAACAGCCCCAGCTCCCTCAGCCTCTTCTCATAGGGCTAGTTCTCAAGACTGCTAATCATCCTACTTGCCCTTCTCTGCACCCTCTCCAGCACCTCAATGTCCTTCCTATACCGTTGTGCCCAAAACTGCACACACTGCTCCAGGTGCAGCCTCACTAAGACTGAGTAGAGGGGCAGGATAATCCCCTTGTTCCTGCTGGTCACACTATTCCTGATACAGGCCAGGATGCTGTGGGACTTCCTGGCCAGCTGGGCACACTGCTGGCTCATGTTCAGCCCCCTGTCAGTCAGCACCCCCTGGTCCCTCTCAGCTGGGCAGCTCTCCAACTGCGCCTTCCCAAGCCTGTAGCGCTGCCAGGAGTTGATGTGGCCAAAGTGCAGGACCCAACATTTGGCCTTATTGAAACTCATGCCATTGGCCTTGGCCTAACGGTCAATCCTGTCTAGATCCCTCTGCAGATCCTCCCTGCAGATCCCTGCAGATCAACATTCACACCCAGCTTAGTGCCATCTGCAAACTTACTTACAACAACCTTTTGGACCTGGTGGACCAACCAGATTTTTTGTCCACCAAAACATGTCCAATTTAATAAAATAAACAGCCTTTTCTCCCCAGGGACATGATATTTGTGGGTTTGAGTGAAATATTGCAGATACCTGCTTTTGGAATGCAAAGCATTTCTACAATCCTAGAATCA